GACAAATTTTGAGTCCAGAATTTTAATTGTATTCTTTTTTGCCAGAAAGTTTTTGAAATATATGTCCTTTTCTTCATTACTTTTATTGATCCAAGTATCTCTCGAAAGTTGAAAAGATTTGAAATTTGTGTGTACTGAGAAGTTGCCACTTCCATGCAATGCCCTTCTGAGGTCAAGCATAGTGCCATTTTCTCAACTAAATATGGTAATCGGTGTTGCTTGAAGTCGGCTACTTGTTATAGCCTGTTGTTTAATGATTCAGAGTTGTTGTTTGTCCACAACTCTGAAATCAATTTGTTCCGAAGAGGTTCAATGACAAATGCTTTTAATTTTGGTTCAAGAAACCTGTCCCAATATTGTCGGAAACTGTTTGTCAGATAGCGTTCAAGGTCATCTTTTCTTTTAGCATATTCCAGATCAGTTTTGCTGAAGACAATACCGTCTTCAGCAAAAATGATACTAGAAATGCTTTGTCTATCTTTCAGAGATGTACCGTGCTTTTCAAGGTACCTATTTAGGTTTTCTTTAATGTGTTTTGGAAAACTGTCATGTAAAGCATTTGTCATTGCACGCTCTTCGTCACTCCCTATTGTGACAATACCAGTACCTAATTGGGCTCGTACATGTGAGAAAAAAGAATGATAAGTTTTGAAATCTGCATCCCAATGAAGAAAAATGGGCCCTAACATAATAGAATTTTCTTTTGTTGATTTGTGCACAACCTCTTGGTTTTTCAACGTTATGGTAGTGACAAAACACTTCCCCAAGTTGAATGTTCTATCTACACCCATTACACTTGCACCTTAACAATTGGCTTTAATATCCAATAATTGTTCCTCTGTATACAATATAATGTTTGGAAGTTTGTGCTTCCCTAGCTCAACTTTTTGAATGGAAGGGTTTCAGTGAATTTGGGAAATGACAGCCAAAACCTCATCTGCAATGTTGTTGTTATTTACCTTGGGACCATTTCTGTTTTTTTTCTTGTCTCGATAGACTTTATCCCGAATTTGTCTTGCTGATTGGGGACCTAGCACACTGTTATCTTTAGCATTAAGGTAACACACTTCAGTGGCTCGTTTACTTTGAGCTAGGGCAGCACAATCTTCCAAAACATGAGGGTCTGTTCTGACATAATTATCCGTTGTTTTTGAATTGCCATGTGGCTGGGATTCCCCTGTTCCTCTTTGCCCTGAATACTCTACCAATGCCATTGTTGTCAGATTTTGTAGATCGGGCGGTGCAAGTGTTATGGTTGTTACCCGTTCCTATATCTGTTGTTATCCTTTAGACTATTGTAATACCTATGCAAACAGATATACCTTTTTGGCTGTGGAGTACACGGTTCAAAAACTGTTTTTCCCTTAACCTGTCTTTTTACGTGAAACTTTTCGTCTTTTCTAAAGATTGTTGATAGCGTATTTTCTGTTGTTATGGAGTAATAGGAATTTGCGGTTGTTCCGCTTTTAGAACACCATGCTCCACAGTCATCGGGAAAATCCAGTGTTTCTGGAGTTATCGATGACAACATACACATTGTCTTTTGGACCTGAAGGTATTGTCTTTGCTGTTGGAGTACTATCCCTAAATGCATGCATTATGTGTTCATTTGTCATGAATTTACCTGATATTGGTGCCTTCTTTAATGCACTTGTCCTATCACTAACAATTTCCGAATGTTCCGACTGAAAACTTGAATCGACGGTTGTGAGTCTGAAAAGGAACTATCTGACAATATTGGTTGATTTTTAGGAAGGATGAATGTTTTGTTTGGACGCTTGTTTTCTTTGGTTTGAATGTGCTCTGATGCGTCTTCTTCTGATGTGTCATAATTATCTGAATCACAGGACGATAACAACTGAAATTTGTTTATAGACTCGAAAGAGTCAGAAAATGAAGCTATTGTTCTTTTTTTCTTTCTGGGTTGTTCGAACGTTTCAGATTGACGTTTTGATGATTTTGTTTTGAGATTTGGGGACTGGTCTGGAGTTGATGTGACTATTTTGTTTGTCGATTCCACAATTACTGAATCATCAGATTGGTAAGACGAGGTACTCGCAGAAAACCTTTGTGGGGATTTGGAAGTTAAACATTGAGTAGAGTGTTCAAACACAGATGTGTGGAGTAACGGCACAAAGTGGTTTGGGGTCCACATACGTCCTGCACATACGTCCTGGCTGTGGCGTTTGAAGACTTGTCCACATGACCTTGATCGGTTCTTTACCTTCAGGTTTTTGCTGGGGTTCAACGGTAGTGTTCAGTTTAACTGCTGCAAAGTATTTGATGCCGTTCACAACAGGATACACTGATCTGATGGGTAATTGAATAATGTTCGCCAATGCTATGAGTGTCCACATATTCGAATATCCATTTCCTGCGCCGGCACAACTCGTACACGCTTCCTCGTAGTCTGGCGATAGCAAAGCATAACTACTACGCTGAGGATGGTTCAAAACAGATTCTCTATTGGTTATCATTTCTAGTCACGTTCTGTATCGAAATTGGGGTGATAGAGTTTCATTTCCAACAAGTGAAAGGGACACAGCGTTAAAAAGACAATCGCCATCAGCAGATGTTTTTGCTGGTTTCCATGAGGGTTCAGTAGTGAACTTGGATGCTATCATATCATATATCATAAAGGGGGTGTACAATGCGTTAAGTGAACAAGTTTCATCTCATAAACTGCTGTAATCAAAGTTTTGCATAAAAAAGTTTTTTTTTGTCTATTTCCTCAATTTCATATCTGTCTACATATGGTAACTACAACTATCAGTCTATTTTTTTTTTTATCTATTTCAAGAAAAGAAACCTATATTATTTTCAGAAGCTGGAATTAGGAAGTACTTTTTTGTGGTTAGGAGTTTCCCCCCCCCCCCCGAGTTAATCCAGACATTTGACGATTTACTTTTGTATGTTAATTGTGAACTGTATTCCACAGGGAAACAAACTTATACACAATTACATTGTATCTACCTTTATTAATTAATTATATTGTAAATTTCTGTATTATTGATTGTTAATGTAGTTTACTGTGTACATTTATATAAATCAAAGAATGTAGGTGATACCGGTATTCATGTATGCAATACTATACTTATTAAAATTAATGTACTTTTTACATGTTATTGTATCTATCTATCTTTATTAATTAATTATATTGTAGATTTCTGTATTAATGATTGTTCATGTAGTTCACTATGTAACTTTATGTATCAAATAATGTAGGTGATACCGGTATAATGCTATTTGGTATACATATTCAAAATCTGAATTAATTAAAATAATTTGATATCGGTTATACAGGAAAATATTTAAATATATGTATGGTAACTACAACTATCAGTCTATTTTTATCTATTTCAAGAACAGAAAACCTATATAATCTTTTTATGAAATTATAAGATAATCACTCTAAATAAGCATTTATTTTCTTATCAATTTTAACTGCAAATCTTACGTTTAAATGATATAGAACCGGTATCCAATTATTTCAAATCATTAATAAATGCTTTTATTAAAAGTTCGATAGATATTCTAAAACACGTCTTGATTATGTTCCAATAACGAAAACTTGATTAAATTAAAGCATATAAACTTACCATTTTTAATCGTGCAGTGCCGTGCAAGTAGTCAAAGATTCCATCGTCAGTGCGGCAGAGATGACAAATATACGGCTCTGAACTACGCGTGAACGAATCAAATTTGGATTTTCCAATACTTTCACAATCAGAATGAAACCATTTATCGCACGATTCACATAAAAGACTTTGAGTGTTGTGGGTATCTTTGTGGCAAGAGCCACAAGGCCATTTTTTACCACGACCCATGGTGATGTGAAAGTGCACCGAAATAAGGGATATTTATAACAATGCTTGTGAAAACAATTAAGAAACACGTTATGTGATTGGTAAGTTTCTACTCAACTCAAATTCATCATCATATCTGCTTGGTTACCTGTTATTAACACACGATTCCCTCAAAATTTTAATTGCAGAAAGTGAAACCATTATCAAAGGATCATCGGTATATTTAACGATACATAAATGTTGTTTCTGTGTTTTCGCAACTGATCATCCGTCAATCAGAGGGCACGCGCTATTAACCACTTTCCGGGTTATCAAAAGTGAATTACCCAAACAAGTTTAAAATTCGTGTATACAGGTGTGAACTGGGTAATTGATTGGCACCCGCGGTACAATTACAGGTGAACTATCAACACAAATCCGTGACTGCTGTGTAAACGTGGGATATAATGAAGCCCGAGCATGTAACAAAAACAAAGACGCTATAACTTATGTAGTACTAGCAATGCGGCATCCTGAATGAAACTTGCTGAATCTGGATTTTTGGAGTTGAATATTTATTCAAATTAGATATCATTCTATTTACACTCTTTTCCGTTTGTGCCGGTTGTGTAATTTATTAAAACGTCTGTAATAAATTATTATGAGAAGTGTAATGATACAGATAGAAAATACAATAAAAACAAATGTACTTTTATTTCAGAAAACGATACACAAACACATGACTTAGATTTTCTTTCATTTGCAATAAATAAACAAGCATGAAATAATGGTAACCACAACAACTTTAACTTCAGTCAGTCAGTCGACACGCGCCAGGCACGTGACGTATCATTATTAATTAGCGGCATCCAACACACTTGATATAAAATAACACATAGAAATACCTGGTTAACATAGCTTCACTGCAATTAACCTGACTATATCACAATGTGTCATTAGCGGATTACATTTGTCAAGGTACATACCGGTGAACTATTTTAATGAAATGAAGTTATCAAATTATTATTATAATAATACAAACACAAAAGAAATCATATTGGTCTGAACAGTGTTCACGTAATTAAATAGCTTAGATACAAATACGACTGAACTTAAATCTATTACATGCTGAATGTTATATAAGGAAGGTTTCATTGTAGGGCAGTATCAATTCTACCTTTACGACCACGTGTACATCTCATTTGATCAAGCATTATGCCTAAGTTTGCTATCCTTGGCAGCAGTTACATCTCCAGACTCCGGGATTTCTGTGAAGGTGATCTTAAGGTAACTACTAGAAATATCAGCGTTGACGATAGATTTTTTATTAACGAATTCAAATAGCACCTAAACAAAGAATATCAATAGACACGAATAGATTATGTATAATGAATTTACTTGTAATTCACTTAAAATTAAAAGTTAGTGTGTGTTGCTTTAGGCATAAAAGCTTAAATAGCACCAGTTGCGCAGATGATTATACTCAACAAAGTGTATATATATGAATCCTGAAATCCTGCAATATTTAAATGTACATGTACACCTAACATTTTCCGAATAAAAATATAAGTGAAACCGGGTAGAGACATGTGAATGAAATAATATCGGGACATTCAACGCTTAGATAGTAACTCAAGGTGTTTATTACAATACTATCGTTTCTTATACGTTAATGCATATTATTATAGGTTCCAGGTGAATGCCGCTTCTTTGGCAAAGGAGGAATGAGGACGGACACAATTCCAAACTGGATGATGACAGACTTGAGGGCATTAGATGCGTGGGCTGTCTTTATCCAATTAGGTGGTAACGATATTCGGCAGAACTCGAACCCGAGAGAGTTTTCAACCGGCTTTCTGTGCTCGAGGAAACACTGGCAGAGAAGGGTGCAGCAGTGTACATCGCTGAGATTTGTAGACGCGGAGATTTCAGCAAAGCACCTGGACTTACTGCGGAATCTTTCAACAAGCAGAGGAATGCCATCAACAGATTCTTACGGACGAAATATGGAACACGCGTCATCAGGATCCCCCTTCAGCACCCAGCCGATTACGATGATAGACTTGTCCACTTTTCAGAAGCTGGAATTAGGAAGTACTTTTTTTGTGGTTAGGAGAGTTTTTTTCAGAGTTAATCCAGACATTTGACGATTTACTTTTGTATGTTAATTGTGAACTGTATTCCACAGGGAAACAAACTTATTCACAATTACATTGTATCTAACTTTATTAATTAATTATATTGTAGATTTCTGTATTATTGATTGTTAATGTAGTTTACTGTGTACATTTATATAAATCAAAGAATGTAGGGGATACCGGTATTCATGTATGCAATACTATACTTTTTAAAATTAATGTACTTTTTACATGTTATTGTATCTATCTATCTTTACTAATTAATTATATTGTAGATTTCTGTATTAATGATTGTTCATGTAGTTCACTGTGTAACTTTATGTATCAAAGAATGTAGGTGATACCGGTATAATGTTATTTGGTATACATATTCAAAATCTGAATGAAATTAAAATAATTTGATATCGGTTATACAGGAAAATACTTAAATAGGCTTAGCCTGTTGTATTAATACATGTACTGTTATATTTCTTATGTAGTACTTGTAATTATGTTTGTTTGTATTAACAATAAAATATTTTGAATTGGACTGGATGAGTGTGGTGGAATTGCCTTCAACGTTGATTGAAAGTTTTGAAAAATCTAGTAAAATATTTATACAAATGCATCGTTGTGTATTTTGTCTTGTCGTTCTTGAACGATTTACCTCCCTTTACTTGCAGCGATATATTTTGCAAGTCACTAATTGCCTCCGTATTTCCGCAGATAATAAAACAAATTGCATACATTCGTTACAGTTTGTAAAATAATTTACTATTTCTTCAGCTAAACGCTATCGGTGAGGTGTTTTTGGGTAGTTTTGTGTGTGTTTTTGGGTGTTTTTGGGTAGTTTTGGGTGTTTTGGGGTGTTTTGGGGTAAATCGTCGTGCCGACACAGCCTTCCCTGTACAAAAATATGTTCGCCCCGAACATGGGTACTCCTAACATAAATATTAATATCCGAAACACAATATCCGTTTATCATCAGAAAAATATAAGTTGAGTGTCCCAATAACATTTAATAAACAATACTGGCCATATATATGATATGATATAGACTAGTACAACTTTAACACATAATACATATTTAATATTTCTTAAAGTACAATCACCGACTCATTCTGCATATCACTCTTATATTCCCTCTACTGGTTCATACTGGAAAGAAACTGTTAACTTAACAATAATAGTCTACATATATATAGAGAACCAACTAATTAAGATACTCAGATAAACAATACTTCCATCAAGTTATGTTATATTAGTCATATTAGGGGTCATTAGGCATATGCTTTACTTTACACATATTTCACTATTCAAATATACTTACATATATAAATACAGACCATACACTGACTGTAGGTACAATATAATTGTACAATAATATTATAAAGATTTTCAACAATTTGACTTCATCAATAGATTCCAATTTCCATACTCTGATTATAGAGTAAGTGTTGGATACAATTTAAAAATTCATAAAATGTCCATAAATAATTTTCACAATATTTTACTAAAAATGCATAACGCCTATTTCCTAAAAGAAAGATCCAATGGTTCGTCCGTTGGTGTCGTCGGTGTTGTCGCTGGTGTTGCTGGTGTAGCTGTGTCTGTCTGGGTGTCTGTGTCTGTCTGGGTGTCTGTGTCTGTCTGGTGTCTGGTATGTGGGGCCCTGACCCAGTGTCCTCCAAAGTATATATGTCTCCATTTGTCAGTCTTATGGTCTCCCTCTTGGTGATGCACATAGCTCCGTGTGGTATAAATCGTCTTTGGTAGTTTGTCCTTGTCTGTGATGTCGTAGTCCGGGCGGCCCTCAGTAAGATTGCTGTCCATCCTTCCATGTAGTGTGATGGGGCTCCTATAAAATGATATCTGGGGTCTGCGGATAATTCCTCGTTGGTGTGGTTGTCTGTGTTTGTGCTGTGGTCCTGTTGTTCTATGTGGTCTGTTTTGCAAGCTGTGGTGGTCGTGGATGTGGTAGTTGTTGTGGTTCTTTCCTCTGCCTGTGGTGTTGCGGTTTCTGTGAGCTTGGAGGTCGGTGCGGCTAAGTCAAGAATTAAGTCTGCGTCAATGTCCGGCTCCTCTCCAAGTAATATGTTCAGGTGGTCAGGTGTTGTCCATGTGTGTGCTGGTTCTATGAATTGCGAGCGTGGAATGGGTGTTGGTGTGTGCAAAGGTGGTGTGCGAGTCCTTTTCTTCTGTGGCGTTCTAGATGTAGGGCGGGTGCTGGTGCGGGGAGGTGATGCTTTTCTTGGTCTGCCTGGTCGTCTCTTGTCTTCTGGAAAATCATGTCGGTAAATGTGTTGTCTCATTATATATCCTTTGCTTTTGGCGCACGAAAAATTGCAATCCTTAACTGTACAATATATACTTGGTCCATGCATATTCCTCTTATGACGTAGAAAATTATCCCTAGTATCGAACCTTCTGCCACAAATATCACATTGGTACTTTCTTTCATCCGCTTGATAGCTTGAATTTCCATAGCGGTACATCCTTAAAAGAAACAAACAATGGACCATTCAAAACCGATGATTTTTTTAGTAAACTTTCAAACATGACATAATTACATGAATGTATAGAATACAAAGTTGACATGTCATAATTCTCTACGGTTTACTACGAGTTACTGCTGTCTGTGTCGGTACAAACCATTGTCTAACTTGACCATAGAAGGGTTTCAGCCTGCCCATATTTACAGTCTTAATCTAAGACTTTGGTCCCTTTTGTATTTGATAAACCAAATCAGACATTTGGTTAATAATGGCGTATGGTCCCTCCCAGTTTCTCTGTAGTTTGCGAACTGTACCCTTCACATTAGAATGATCTCTAAGCCATACTGGATCCCCAACCCTATAAGAAGTGTTAGAGGCCTTAACATCTTCTGGCGATCACTAGTCTTCTTCATCCTGTCACGAGCAGANTTTCCCAATCTCTCTGATTTTTGTTGATGACTTTGCTGAGCATCTCCTCAATGGTCCTATTTAACCTTTCAACCATCCCGTCACCTTGAGGATGATAAGACGTAGTCCGTGTCTTGTGTATTTGTAACCTGTCACATAATTCTTTAAACAACTTCCCTTCAAATTGTCTCCCTTGATCACTGTGTATTTGTTTTGGTACTCCATATCGAGATATAAATCCATTCACCAATGCTTCTGCTACTGTTTCAGCTTCCTGGTTTGGGATAGGAAAGGCTTCAGCCCACTTGGTGAAGTAATCCACAACAACCAATAGATGTTTGTTTCCGTTAACCGTTTCCGGAAGATTTACAATTATGTCTAAAGCTATTCTCTCCATTGGTGCACCTACCAAATATTGCTTCATCTCCCCTCGATTGAACCGTGTAGATTTTTTACGAGCTTGACAGTCTGGACACCTGATGATCCATCTACGTGTATGGGTATAATATCCACTCCAATAAAATCTACTGCGGATCCTAGCCATAGTGCGTGTTATCCCAAAATGTCCTGCAGTAACATCACTGTGTAACTTTTGTAATATTTCCCGATGCCAGCATTTTGGTACTATTAACTGCCACCTCTCATTATTGGTGTCCTCATCCATCCATTTCCGGTATAAAATACCTTCTCGGAGACTAATTCGATTCCACTGGGACCAATAAGCTTTGACCTCTACTGAGAGGTTGGAAATATCCTTCCATTCGGGTCGCATCCCTTCTGTTTTCCAAATATGTACATGTTTCAAGGTTGGGTCATTGGTTTGTGCTTGTTTGATTTCCTCTGTATCTCTTCCCTGCATCCAGTTGGAGGAAGCTTCATTACATTCTACTAATGGATCCTGATTCCGAATACTCTGTTTTCCACTTTTCCCCTTCCTTTTTATATCGTTATTGTTATCATGATCTAACATTCGAACATGTTCATGTTCCAATTTCTGGTGTTCCTGGGTTTCCCATTCATTGTGATCCCTTCTGTCGCAGTATCTACAGGAGTTACAAGGCCTCCGCGACAATCCATCTGCATTTCCATGCAATTTTCCGGCTCGATGTTGGATTGTGTAGTCATAGGTGTCAAGTACCTCTATCCATCGAGCCAACTGCCCCTCCGGATTCTTGAAACGGCGCAACCAATTGAGAGCTCCATGATCTGTTCTGATCAAGACTTTAGTACCATACAGATAGTGATGAAAATGTTTGACGGATTCTACTACAGCTAACAGCTCCCTGCGTGTGACACAGTACTGTCTCTCACACTTGGTCAGACTTCTGCTATAATAGCACACAGGATGTTCACCATCCTCTTGTACTTGAGATAATACACTGCCAATTCCAAATCCACTAGCATCAGTGTCTAAGATGAAAGTTTTCTTCACATCTGGGTAAGCTAAGATTGGTGAGGTCACTAACCGGGTTTTTAAAGTCTGAAAAGCTGTTTCACATTCTTTGCTCCAGTTGAAGATGCTGTCCTTCTCCGTGAGCTTGTGTAAAGGTTTCGCGATGGTGGCGAAGCCTTTGATAAACTTTCTGTAATAGGATGCAAGTCCAACAAAACTTCTCAACTCTTTTACTGTTTTGGGGACTAACCATGCTTTTACTGCCTCAATCTTGCCTGGATCAGGGGAAACTCCTTCCTCTGACACAATGTGACCTAAGAATTTGACCTTCTTTTGGAATAATCTGCATTTCTTGGGAGAAATCTTGAGTCCTGCTTCTCCTATTTTGCTTAAAACTTCCTGTAGCCTCCTCTGGTGTTCTTCAAATGTCTCGGAGAATATAATAACATCATTGATGTATATCAAACAGGTACGCCACTGGCATGGTGCTAAAATGCTTTCCAGGAGACGCTGAAAACTTGCTCCAGCATTACATAATCCGAAAGGCATTGATTTAAATTCATACAGGCCATTATGGGTGACAAATGCTGTTTTCTCCCTGTCGGATGGGTCGACTTCCACTTGCCAATATCCGCTCTGCATGTCGATCACAGAGAACCATTTTGAACCTCTGAGGGTGTCGAGATAATCATCGATCCGCGGTAGAGGATAAGAATCCTTTATGGTAAGTTCGTTCAACTTTCTGTAGTCGATACAGAATCTCACTGATGAATCTGCCTTCTTGACAAGAACTATCGACGATGCCCAAGGTGACTTTGAAGGTGTGATTACTCCTGCCTTAAGCATGCGTTTGACTTCCTGTTCAGCTATCTCCTTCCTGGCTAATGGTAGCCTCCGAGGTGCTTGTTTAACTGGCCTTGCATTCCCAGTATCTATTTTATGATAACCTTGCTTGGTTTTTCCTAAGTCATCTTTATCCTTTGCAAACACATCCTTATTAATGTTTAATATCTGTTTCAGTTGCTTCACCTTGTCATCATCCAGATGCTGCTTACTGGATTCTACGGTTACCTCTATATACTCTGGAACACTGTCATCCGGAACAGGTGGTGTCTCATCTAACTGGCACAAGTATCCTGCCTCCGGTCCAGCTGATTGTTCTTCGTCCCTCACATGACATGATCGAACCACCACACATTCTGCTGTGATTGTCTTTTTATATTATATCCTCTGTGGTTGGTTGGTCATATTGGCTACTCGGACTGGTATGACCTCTGATGACGGGTCAAATATACTTTTCCCCACAAGTACTCCTATCTTCGTCAACTTACAGCTTCCTTCATCAATGATAGCTTGGTGTCCCACCGGTATGTCCCCTACTATCTTAGTGGGTAATATCATCTCACTACTGGCTGATATCACCACATTCTCTATAAGTGACAGTTTGAATACAGATCTTGACCTCTGGCTCTCCAAGTAACATTTGGCTGCCTTACCATTGAAGGTCACTGTTCCTCTCCCTACATCCATAACACAGTCATTCTGTTTCATAAAGTCATATCCAATGACAGCCGGTACTTCAATATCAGCTACTATCATACGACACTTCTTAATTTTCCCCGAAATCTCCAGTGGAAACATTGCCATACCCATCGGCGTAATGACCTTCCCATCGGCCACTCTCAGTTGTCCACAATTTCTGCTCAAATCTTGTCGTCTACTCTCTGGTAACTCGAGAAATACCTTGCTACTAAGTACAGAAATAGTTGCTCCTGTATCCAATAAACTATCTATCTCTTTATTATTCAGAGATACCTGTAAAAATAATCCATCATTACTTGTATGTTTAATCTCAAACACACATTGGGGTCCCTCTTTGTTTTCCTTCATACTTTCTCTATCTTTTTCCTCTTGGGTTAAAACATGCCCCTTTGTCCTAACCCTTACTGGTTTAAATGACTCCTCTCCTCAGTTCGTGAACCTGAATTATTACTGTAAGGAACATTCTGTTGATGAGTTCCATTGGGTTGTCTCCCCTCCCTAGGTGATTGTCTCTGTCTTCTTGGCTCTTTGCAATCTCTCATGATATGACCTGGTTTTGAGCAGTTGTAACAGGTACGCGTCTCTGTATTCATTCTACGTTCCTCCATTTTTGCTATGTTGAATTCATCTTCCTGGCCATACTCATCAAAAGTCTGTTGACGTACAGTGTGACGAGCTGTGCCACTTTTCCTCTGGTGACTCACCATAAAGGCTTCATATTTCAGGGCTGCATTCAATGCATCATCAATGTTTTCAGAACTTGACTGGCATACTGCCCATTCCATGTCTCTATCTGTTAGGGCTTCTCTGAAACATCTGTAAGCCAAACTTTCTCTTACTTCTCCAGGTGCTGTAGGATACCCTAATCTCATTAGGCGTTTGACATCTTGGGCCAGATCTGTCAGACTCTCATTTGGTTTCCTTGTCTTTGAGGTAATTTGAGCTCTGTACATCTCGCACTGATTGTTCGGTTCGAACCTAGCTGTTAAAATGCTGACCAAACCTTTGAATGATTGCATGTCTTCACACTTAAGATCTGATATGACACCTCTTGCCGTTCTAGTCATAGTTGCAGCCAACTTAAGACTCTTCATTTCATCTGTCCACTGACTCAAGTAGTCAGTCCAACTGGATTTTCTATCATATGTGTCAGGTTTGGTACATCTGGCTTAGAGTTCAAACAGATGGTGTTGGTTGCTGGTAAAGCTATGATATGACTATGGTCCTCATTTATTTCTACAATTTGTGCATTGGAGCTGGTATCCTGTCCAAATGATTCCCTGTTTTGTTGGGTTGTCATGTTTCTTTGTGTAGGATTTTTCTCAAGAACACGGTCAAGACGTTCTAACACTTCTGATATTGGCTCTTTGCAGTCAAACTAATGACTTCTCTAACTTTTCATGAGATTGGACCATGGGAACCATGTTATTGTCTATAGAATTCACTTGATTTTCTAGAGCCTCCACCTTTTCTATGGTCTTTGCTAGCTCTGACATCTCTCCCTGACTATCTGACATACCAGTATTAGCTAAACTAGCATAGTCTACCCTTGCCTGTCTTCTGCTTCCAGTTCTAGGCATGTTTGCAATAACAAAGTAAACCTAAACCTATATGTGGTACACAATCTATTCTATCTTTTTCTAAGAATGAAGTAACAAAATTATATCTGCACTAGCTTAAATTCTCGCACCGCTGCCACCAAATGTAACGGAGCCGCCTAGTCACTTCACTCAATATTGTCTCCGTCTAGTTCTAGACTAGATCGTTTGCTGGTAGCGCAAAACAAAGATCTTACACAAGACTCGAAAAAAGCCAGCTGGTAACGCTCGACTTGAACCGGTAGTACTGGTAGCGTAGAACTAACATGAAGTATTAAGTAAACTCAAGTTTTGTGTACCACATGGCCTAATTTTATTAAATGACACATATAAAGTATGTTATTCTGAATATCTTTCACACAAATCTTTACATAGTAATCATACAACAAACACACTAACGTTATCATAGGTCTCGACCCTGAAGTCTCCGGTAATGTAATTCCGGTAAGAAATCCACGTATAAGTAGAATATAATATATATTATAAGCTGAAATGGCTGAACTAGCCAATAATAATGAGATAAAGCTTTCCTAATGAAAGTGACAAAGTTATGAGACTAAATGAATTATGTTAATTTAGGTTTCAAAGGCCGAAAGAAGTATAAATGATGTCCGAATAAAGAAGTCTAAGTATATACGTAAAAGTCGATAAATCTCTAAGTCTAAAAGTCTGCAAGTCTAACGGAAATACAAACGCTCGCTCTTTTATACTCAGTCTCAAGCACAACAACAAATCAAAACATCGTATGTCGGTCCTAGAATAAACAACCAATCGAATAACTGTGAATAAACATCGCGTTTATTTACCGAACTCGAACATTCATAAACTCCCGCTATTCGGTGATCGCAACTCTAAGACCGGAAATACGTAACAACTGTCACTCTCCGTACATGCGCACTCTCACAACAATGGCAGCCTCCATCACACTACAGAACACGCACCAAGACTCGTCGATAAGACGGTAACTACAGTGATAATACACGCAATTATCAAGGTTTATATGAACGGTTCAATTAATACATCAACTATACAACTACATATATCCTCCAAGCGACACAGCGCCCTTACTTTGTTCTTAAATAACACTTTACCATTACCACTCAACATTCCTCGTGGTATAACCTAAACACTCGTAAATCTGACTTATCATATTTAACTCAAAGTCTCTCTCCCTCTGCCATTGCCGACGACTTACACTATCAATAATAAATGCAATCATACAAAATATACAAGAATGATTTGTTGTTATTTCATTGAATAAGCAAGGTGCCATAGTGGTACATAAACATGTATAACATAAAACATGAGGGTCAACTTCGTTACAAAATTATAGATAAGATCAATTTGTGACCAATTACTGACGTAAAATTACAATGTATATGAATTCTTGATACTAGTACCAAATTGACTGAATATGTTACTCTATGCTTTTCTGAAACTTATCTTAATGACTCTATATTTGATATTGATATTTCAATGGCAAATTATACTTAGTTTTTTTAAATCCAAGTCAGATAGTCTTGAAATATTCACTAGAAATATGAAATGTGACGTACGAAATTTATATGGATTAAAGTTCCACCTACAACGGTCCTAGTTTTCATGGTTTTAAATACATACTCTCTAATTCTTTTGTTAGCTCCCGGGATTACTTCATATATTAACATTGATAGTATTGTTGACATACAAGAGGTGACATAAATTGAGATATGTTTACTCTAAATAATTTGTTTTTATTTAAATATTAATTGGGAAACGCTGTTACAGACTTTACCAGGATTAATTGCCTTTATTCAACACAATTGGTGTCTTAATAACAAACGACCTACAATTTGTTATTAATTATCACATGCATGCCCCGTCCCCGTCTTCTAGCTTCTTATAAAGTATCCATGTCCCTTAACTTTGTGTAGTTGTATCGCTGCCACGATTTTTTAACTGAGCTCTGATGCGTTTTTACACTCTTTTACAAATTAGCTGCATTTTTGCGTATCACAAGCATTAAGGAAATTTCATGATTGAAGCAAGCCCAGATTACCAATATTTGAAAGAACAATGATCCATTTATTAAGAGAGTAAGTGTACTTCTTATTTTATCGAAAGTGTTTGATAGAATAGCATGATTCACTGACCTCTGTCTTCGATATATTTTTAATTCTTTTCTACCAGCTTACAGTAAGGGCTTTGGTATGAGACTACTCTGCTGCGACTCCTTGAGGAAGGGCGTCAGTCCTTTTAAGATAACACCATGTTGAAGGTATCCTGTTGGATCTGTCGAAGGCATTTGGCTGCCTCACTCTTAGACAATCGGTGGAATACCTTGCAGGGTTATGGGCTTGATAATCCGTCAATAGACCTTGTTTGTAGTAATCACAGTAACAGATTATGAATAATCAATCTTTTAGCTGCTTTCAAAACAGGTACTTCAGGGATCCTTAGTGGGGCCTTAGTATCATAACATTTTAAATGATGTCTTTACCTTATTGATAATGTAACCTGTACAGTTATTCTGACGATAACACCCTTTCTCACGTAACCGATGGTCCCGGTACCATAGCAAATGATCTTTAGAAGGGGAGCTATAATTGATTCACTGGTTTGGTATTAGATGTATGTAAGCTAACCACCTATGTAAATTCCGAGCATTATGTTTAGATAAGAAATCGTTTCGTTCACAATAAGTTACCATAAAGTTGAATGCGATGAGTTGTTTTAATGATTTGGCATTGCTATTGAATTTTTGAAAACTTTGAATTGCTTATTTTTATATTTTTGCAGAACATAAACGCTAAAAAAAACCTCTGTATTCGCAAGAGAATAGACTGTAACCTCACCAAAAATACAAGATTTCGTTTCTTAAATCTTTAATTTATTCAAGTTTTCAATACTGCCATCTTGCATGACACTTATGCAATATGAAACACTCTAAGAAACTAGAGAAAATTCAGAATACAATGAGGTTCATTTACATGTCCTTAAAATTGTTAAAATTTTAAACATTCTCTGTCAACAGTTTGTCTCAAACCTCATAAAAACAAAGAATTCAAATTGTTATATCAAGCGAGGAAACGCAGTTAAGATCACACTATTCACCACCATCAGGTATGAAAAGACAAACGAATGACTCTTTTCCTGTCTTTTGTTAGTTTGCTAGTTTTACTTTAATAGTTACATTTTCACCCTTATTTTGATGTCTACATGTACAACTTACAAACTGTGTGTGTTTATGTTTTTTTTTATATTTTCATTTCATTTTCATGTTCATTTTCCGCATGGGCGGATTGGTCGAGTGGTTAACACTCCGGCCTTCCACGCAGGCAGCCGGGGTTTGATTCCCGAGATCGTCATACACACGAGAAAGTGTTTTTCTCCTGCCTTCACAATACTAACAACATGGGTGGAGTATAAAATGGTCTGGGTGGATGTTGCGGTATCTGTGCTGTTGCATTTAGGTGAGATGGCACAATAATTGATACCGTTGGAAGCACGGTCCCACTACAAACAGAACACAATACATCTCCAACACGCAGGCAGGCATATACTCATAGGGAGATATTAGCCAGGTGACATAGGACTAGAAGGTCGCTCCTGGTAATGCAGCTCCTGCGAACTTCTCAAAATTGTATTGATTGATGAACATTGTAGATGCTAATTGTATTGATTGTATAATTTGTATATTAATGTAATGTCAAGAGCTTTAGAGTGGCTTATTCTAGCAAGATAGGGCGCTATATAAAATGTTGTATATATATATGTTTTGTATTCATACTTCAGTGTCATGTACTCTGTGGTATACCTTATAATATTTTGTATTATAACAACCAGCGACAATCTTAGTGCAATGTTTTGAATATTCACTCTTTTTTCTAAAATCAAGGATCATTACACTGTACAACGTAATTTATTATTGCAAATGCCAGAGGTGAATACTACTTGCAGAGATTTAATGCAAACTGGGAAAAACAAGATGCGACTAAAGAGCTGGTGGACTAATTTTAAAAAACAAATGTACTAATATACTTTCACACATATTACATACTGTACATTTATTGACAATTGTAAATACGCTATTAGTGAATAAATTATATTGAAACTCCCCGGTACTTTGGCAATATATTTTCCTGATCTGGAAAGTCATATTTGTAATTATTATATTATCATCTTTTGTCTTTGGTATCAATCCATATAATTCATTTAATTAAATAGAATATTTTTGAAGCAAGATATTAATGCCGATCAATTCCTTTTCTATTTCATTTCTTTCTTCTTTCTTGCTTCTCTTTGATTCTTTCATTTTTTTAGTAAATACATCAGATATAGTAATTACAAGAAACATGTTTTTTTGTAGATAAAGTGTTGGTGAGTGTGTGTGAGTGAAAGCATATAGGAGCGAATATATCTGTATGTGCTTAAGTGCAATATATACTTTGGTTCCATAAGCACGTGTATATGTAGTCAGATGTACAGTTGTGTGACCGCACAACGCACCAAAAATACCGTGCGCACACCGTGCATACATCGTTCACACACCGTCCGCACATCGTCCACACATGGTGCGCACAACTGGACGATTTGACAATCGTTCGCCCCGTTGTGCGCTTCTCTCCGCACAACTGTGCGATTTGGTACAATTTGTTGATCAATATTACGGAATGAAAAAAATACGGAAGGCTCGTACTAGTATACAATAATTTACACTGTATTTATTATTGTAATTTCTCATCACAGTAATTAACATTATGTACAATTTTATAATGCATGTAACACAGTATTACAATGACCGTTAGACTGTCAAGAATAGTTTTGACTCCTAGCTAGGTAACAGAACAGTTAAATAACAATTTGGGAGGGAAACATACTAAAAAAGTCAAGTTTATATGTCTAAACAGCAAACCGTATATAGTGGTAAACCATCCCTCAATTTACACCAACCACGATTGTTATCGCACAACGTTCGTCGATCGTGCGCACAAATGTGCACAAGCAATGATCGTCCACTTTTTTATCGTTCGTACTTCGTGCACACATCGTTCACACACCGTGCACACATCGTGCACACACCGCACATCGTGTAACGTTCTGCGATCCCACAACTGTATCAAACGAAAAAAATAACACGATGTGAAGTGTTTGTCGTAAAATGTGTATACATGTATATTAAAAGGAAAAAATGTTATGGTGATACATTATGAGGATGAATGAGTTAATAAGGTTGTTGAGTGTGTTGATGCTAAATATTGAGTGTACCGATTAAAGAATTGATGATGCAGTGTGGTTCAGTGGCAGCTTACATTATGTTGACAACAATTATTTTAACGATGATATTGATGATGGTAAAATTGAGTGTGCTGATGTTGATATTTGTTGTGCAGATTGATAATGAAACTGTACTGTTATTAATGATGATGTAAGAGATGAGTAAAGTGTGAAAAAGAGAGTGTGAAAATGAAAATATCTGTTTTGTATCTATATTATGAAAAAATCTTTCGAAAAAAAATGATCAAAAAATGTTTTGAATATGTCATGCTTCTTAATGAATTAACAATAAGCAACTCCATGGTTGCGTTCCACAAAGTAATGAAGTATAGTTTGATTTTCGCTTACCTAGTCTTCAATGGTCAGCGTCGTGTAAGAATCGGTAATTCATGTCTCTGTATCTTTACAGAGATGTGACAAAAGAGAATATCTAAAGGTTTTATATCTATATACAATTGACCTTGGTTTATATGTTCTGTTTGGTGATTTGTGATGATGTAAATAATACTGTAATTTTGTTTATGCTAAGTTATTAATCATGTCCACCTATTGTATCAATAAGTGTTACGCTAAGGTTAAGTTCCCGAAACAGATGTTCTGTCAAATATTTAACATCTTCCCAAAACAACAGGTTTATACATGTTACAAATAAATGTTCTACTCATTTCGGACAACTAAATTTTTAAAATGATAGCTTTAATATTTCTGAAAATTCCTCGTTATGTATGTTGTTGCTCTCTTTGTAGCAGTACACAGGCGGACTTAACACACCCGCAGGTGATTGCACCTTAAAAAGGGAGGTCAACGCCTATGGAGATTTAACATAAGCGTCGGTCCCGCTTGGAATTTCAAAACAAGATAAATACAAAAAGGTATGGGTTTAGGAAGCTTAAATAAGGAACATTTATTTTCAGAATTCATTTTATGACAAATGGGACCTCATTCACCTGTGTGTATGTTAAAGGTGCGGTAATAAATTCCTCCTAGAGCATTTAAATGACCCAATTATCTTAAAATTATATCATTATCGTGTGCAATATATTCCAGCTGTTATTTTGATACCAAATATTACACTATTTCAAGATATAATTGTTCTCTTTATTGAATATTAAAGCAGAAAATTGTGTGAAATGTCATTATCAATGAGAACATTTCCTTTTTTGACACATAAATTTGTCATTCTTACTTGAAAGTTGGCTACCAATAATAACTTCAACACTAGGAATTTCAAGACAAATGACAACCGATAAATTTGTCATATAACACTTTTGATTAAAAAAAAAGAAAAACATAGCTTTCTTTCCACTTTTCCTTTAAGTTGTGTTTCTTCATGACCAAAGGTCATTGGGTCTTGATATTTGGCAAGTAGGTTGTTCATGTGAATGGATTTAAGTTTTGTAACCATTGATGACCTTGACCTTCGTTCAAGGTCACACAATCAAATTTGCTATAATAAAATGTCAGACAATGATATCTTTCCTTGCTCTATTTGTTTAGAGTTAACGATATAGATATAATAATGTAATATTCGTTCATATTTTGATTAGTGAATGGGCAATAGGCAAAATTTAAAATAATAGCTAGAACTGTGAGCGAAACGTAAACTAATACAACCCGCTCCTATACAAACCAGAACTGTAAGCAAAGGGCTAACTAAGACAACGCATTGCAAAGTAATCCATTGTCACCCATCCGTAATTATTTAAGTATATCGGTCACTGACATACTTCCTGTACTCCCTCCCAATGCTAAAACATACTTCCATACTCAATCTTGTTAGCCCAGATGAACCAGTTTTGCTGAACTCGTTCAAGTAGTTAAGGAAGAGTTGTCCAGACAAAGTTTTTTAACAAAGGGCCATAGCTCCTTAAAAAAGGGTCGAAATGAAAAAGTACTACCTTAATGCAAGACATCAGGAGGTAATTACCATATCTGTAAACATTAATTGAAATCGGCCCAGTAGATTATGAGGCAGACAGAGGTTTTTTTTCAACAAAGAGCCATAACTCCCCTGAAAGGGTCGGAATGAAAACGTACTACTTGGATGCACAATGTCAGGGGGCAATTACCATATCTATAAACTTCCGTTGAAATTGGTGACATAGTTTTGGAGGAGTTGTCTGGACAAGTATTTTTCAACAAAGGGTCATTTCACCGTAAAAAGGGGATCAGATTGAAAAAAACAATACCTGTATGCACAGCACTAGGTAGTAGTTATCATATCTGAAAACTTTCGTTGAAATTGACCCCTTGATTTTGGAGGGCATGTCCGGACAAGGATTTTTCAACAAAAGGCCATAACTTTGTAAAACAAGGGTCAGAATGAAATTTAGAATACCTGGATGCACAACTTCAAGTGGAAGTTATCATATCTGTGAACTTTCGTTGAAATTGGTCCATCACTTTTGAAGGAGTTGTCCGGACAAAAAGTTTGTAAGGACAGATAAACGGCCAGACAAGCCGATTCCAGTATATCCCCTAACGTCGTTGCGGGGGTATACTTAAGTGTACAATAGTTTTACTATTAAGATTATGTTATTATTTTTATGCTATTGCATATCGTTGTCTATAACACAATCTCAAACCGAAGTAGTTCTCCAGAGGAACGATTACTTTGGCAGAATACATATTAAGGAGTTATTATTGTTGTACATAAGTTTCAAACAAACGCTATATAGTGAAGTGCTTTGGTATATATTACAAAAACAGAAATCGTATCGGTATTTACCATAACAAAACATTGATAATCAAATCTCCATGATTATGTGAAATTGGCCTTTGATCATGTGTGGCATATTTAAAAAGTACTTTACCGGTTTTGATGTTTCCTAAAAAGGATTCTGTAGACAGAATATCTATATGGAAAGTTTTTGAAGAAGTTTAAAATATAGATTACCATTGTAACTATATCTAGGCAAGTTGACAATGTTGGTTATATTTTGGATTTTGTGAAAATTTTGCATGTTTTTCTAATTAGAAGTATCACTACGCTTACTTCACGATACCAATATGACATATTTAGTATCAAAATAACAGTAATGCTATGCACTGTACACTATCATAACTCATTTTCAAAATAACATTCTCCTGTGACATTTATCTGTCATTTTGTTAAGATACCCCTGTCACTTAACCTGGTGTTATGCAAGGAAGTCCANGGTGATGATAAGGTCCAGAAAGTTGGAAATCCGAATTGGTCTTAAGTACTGTTGGTGCGTACAAACCCTTGATACATTCAAAATTTAGAGAAGTACTGTGAATTTCAAACTTAAGAATTAGTAAAAAGTGTATATTAAAAACTGTGCTACTTCTTGATAGAAATAACGGTGGCTATTAAGGTTACGGTAAACCTGGGACTATAGAAATTCACTTGCAAAGTATACCAACTTGTACCGTGAAAGACCATGTTAACGCACACAGATCTAAAAATCCAGATTCGCACGATCAAGTCTTACTTTATCTAAGTCTTAGTCATACGTTAGATAACTTACTTGGATTTCTGAGTTTTTTTCTCGAGATAGTAGAGTACCGCTGGTACTCACAGATCTATCGCCACAAAATTAATGATATAACCGTTCATACATGGGGCAAAGAAGTAGTTCTAACAGTGAAGACAATGTGTGAATGTTGTCAAATTTTCGCAGCAATCCGCTCCTTTATCGAGTCACGGAAATAAAGCAAAAACCATTACATTACAAAAAACAATATTAGAAATGTAATACGATAAAACTAATATTTGAAAACAATAAGCACCTCGAATAGGGTAAAACAATGGCAGAATTTACAACGACATCATCGTTGACCAATGATACTGTGTGTACAATTATTTCATGACATATTGAACATACCAACAAGTGAATATGAAGACTACTTTTCCCTTATCAGGGGAACAAATAGTAAATAAAATAATGTCACCAGCAAAGTGAACAAACAGGACGGTCTTCATACCACAATAAGCATTAAGAATAACCTGATTACTTCAAAAATGGAGGAAAACATGAAAAAATGATTTTGTAAAACATAATTAGTTGACTGTTTTCTTAAGTAATATACTTTCGTCTGTCGGTTGACCAAAATGAACTTACAGGTTCGTCTCAATACCAATATACTGATTAAGAATAATCTGATAATTGCACTAATAGATGAAATTAGTGAACTTTTTTCTTAAGTAATATACTTTCGTCTGTCAGTTGACCAAAATGAACTTACAGGTTCGTCTCAATACTAATATACTGATTAAGAATAATCTGATTATTGCACTGATAGAAAAAATTAGTTAACTTTTTTCTTATGTAATATACTTTTGTCTGTCGGTTGACCAAAACTATGTTTCAATTTAGTATACAGTACCGCTACTAAGTAAATAACAGCGGACCAGACCAATCCCACAACCATCAGTACGTCTAGAGAATGATACTGGTACCAGGGCATGTCGACTGAGTACGAGTGGACAAACTTGTCTCCAAAGCGGGCAATGTGATCTACCCAATAGGAAGCTCGCTGTAGTGGACTCTCAGACCGACCACGGAAAATCGTTGAAGCATTCTTTATATTGATTACGTAGTTCTTCTGTGTTGTTACGTCCAGTAAAGCTTTCATGATATCATTGACAGTAAATAGGCAAAAATCGAGGACAACACCATATCCTTTCTGCCTCATACGGTTACAGTTATAGAACTGATCGCAACATAGTGGAATCCCTATCATCGGAATGCCGTGATATAAGGCCTCAAATTGACCATTGTTACCACAGTGAGTCATGAATGCAACAGTCTTGGGGTGACCTAAAAGATCATTTTGGGGTATCCAGGGCGTGAACATGATATTACCATCAATGTATTCTGAAACTCCATATTTAACGACAAAGTTTAAGTCAATGCGTCTTTTAAATGCCTCCACAAAAGTATCAATTCTTTCATGAAGAAAACCAGCACACCCACTTCCAAATGATACGATTACAGCACCATATTGACTCGAATCCACGAATGTCTGAAACCTCTCCGAGAGAGGTTTAGATGGCTTGGTAGATGTCCCTCCAACAAATGCAACGTGTGGCAAAGACGGTCTGGGATAGTCAATGAGAAAATCAGTTGTCACTAAATGAAATGAAGCTTTCGATACCAGTTGATCTGCTGTTATTGGTGGTTTATTCGACGTGTATTTGGCGATATCTGTAACCGGCGGTACGTAGCCTGGAGCAATCACCAATGCAATGTATATAAAAGCATTATACATCCTTTCAGAGAAAGTCATTCTGTCACCTAGACCTAAAAAAATACTTTGAGTCGAAGCTGGAGAAAAGGGAATCCGCATTTTTACGGGATCATACAGAATTCCAAAATAGATATAGGGCAACGAAAGTTTATACGCAATGAATGCGAAACATACTTGTAGTGGCACGTTGTCAAGAATTGCCAGGTCAAACTGCCTGTGTTCGAGACGGGTGAAAAGTGATGTGTCGTTGAGAAAAAGATCACAGAGCTTTCCGATTTTAGAGTTAAGTAATGTGTTTATCTTACCACCTGAATGACATGTATCTTTTGCTAATTTTGATTCCATACTCTCAAAATCTAATCTAATCTGATCAAATGCACCAGATATTAAGATATCAACGGCAGGAATAGACCGGAGTTTCAGCTTGCTAGCTAGCTTCGTTGTTGTTACGACGGTGGCTGTGTGGCCATATGTTTTGGTAACATAATTGACGACATTCATCAGGTTAAGGGTGTGACTGAAATGTGGTAGCGCCAAAATCAGTATATGTTCTCCACAACCTGGATCAACATAGTTCATCAGTAGGACGCACGCTGTAAAAATCCGGAGAAACATTGCCCTGTAAAACAGAAGAAATACATAAAACGCTAGTGATCTTCTATGAAATATGCTGTTCTTATCGCACATCTCCTCGGTTAGTTTGTGACCGAAGGCTAGGTAAAGTGAATTAATTGAAAAATAAATCTGAATATAGTTGTTCTAACTACATTTAACACATTTTGTTCTTTTAATTAACTTAACTTCACGTCTTCAAAATGGTTTTTTTTACAATAATTAGACTTCGGTTATAAGCTAGCAAAAGGGATAAGCGATAACAGCAATTTACTCCATTAGTGATAACTGTTGTACTTTATATTATAGTGTCGTTTCAGAGTGACTGCCTATCTTTATTATATGTTGTGATATGTAAATGCTCATGTTTATCCGTTGAAAAAAGGTCGAATTTCCTCGATAATTTTACAAATTACTTCGTCTATACTGTCGTTATCAATTATATATATATTAAAGTGATACGTATCCAACGAACACTTGTTTGTTCGGATCCAGTGCCCACATTGGATCATACTTTCATCATCACTCATAAATGTATGTATTCAATAAAAGGAATCGAATTTATTTACAAATAATGTTCTGTTTGTAATAACAGAAATAGGATAACAAGTAGAAGATAAAAAAAATCCATTTTCGTATGCATAGCAACTGAAGTTACATCTTTTGGACTCTTGCTTATGAAGCAATAACATATTACGACTCAATGGGAATTTGGTAAATTTAACGTTTGAAATGAAGGCAGAATACTACATACAAAATAAATCATATTACAAGTACAAACAGACATGCACTTTATCTTTGTTTTTACTTTTTCGTGTGTTTCGAGTCGGTAAACAAGAAATTCCATTGTTATATGTGAATTCAACATATAAACACTATCTACTTTGATATGCTCCCTCAATTCACATATTTATCCCCTTCTTTGCCTGCTAATGATTTTTCTGTCATTCCTGGGTATTATTTTTTCAGTCATCTTCAAAGTTATAACAAATACCACGTTTAAAAAAAAATATAACATCACGGGATCAATTAGATATGACGTCACAGTCAGATCTCAACGGGAGAGGTCAAATGAAAATCAGGATTAAGACAGATTACCAATCCTGAAAATGATTAATTTCAATAAAGTATTGGAAAGATTGGAGAAAAAGTAATTATTCCCTTTCTTGTAACACATAAATCTCCAACTATCGGGTGATTATTTGGTTGTCAAAACACAAGCAGAACATCGGGTTAGATAATCCAAAATAATCACCACCCGGGTTGAAGATTTCTCTTTGATACTAGGGGAAGATTCTAGTATTGACTTACCTAGACATTCAATCGGCAGTATCGTGCAAGCTTTGGTCATTCCTGTCTCAACGTCCTTGCAGAGATGTGGCAACAGGGAACGGAACATATCAGTTATAAACAGCTGTCAATAGTTCATGTGGTTTGTCGGGGTTTCCGTTGATGCTGTATATAATAAACTGTCAGTTAGAGAGAAATTATTCATTTTGATTTTTATTGCGTTAATAAAATGTATTTTTTTAGTACAAAAAGATTTTATTGTTAACCACAGCTGTTTTTCTTTTAAATAAAAGTGTATATACATAGCTGATTTTATGCCGCAACACATAGACCCACCATTAGATTTTTGATAGTATTGTAATTAGGTTGCTATATGATAAAATGCACCTTACGGTCACCTGGTGCCTTATCCCCATTCTTGGTACCTCTCCGTTGTTTTGAGGTTTTTGATTGGCTAACAGGTGATATAATCAACATGTAAACTACAATCTTATTGGCTAAAGGGTTTTTCCTTCATATTTAGGAAAACTTTCAACGGCGCCATATTGTGGCAGCATATATTTAGAAATTTATATCAAAGGTGGGGTCAACATTTGGCCCTCACTTTGATTTCTTTTATTCTTTTGCAATATGTAGATACATAAAAATGATCAATAACTGCATAAATGATTATTCATAATTACTACCGATAACCGTAGTGGACCTCCTTGTATAACACCAGGTTGAGTGACGGATGTATCCTAACAAAATGACAGATAAATGTCACAGGCAAATGTTTCTTTGAAAATGAATCAAGATATTGTACAGTGTATAAAATTACTGTTATTTTGATACTAAATATGTCATATTGGTATACATGAAGTAAGCGTAGTGATACTTGTAGTTAGAAAAACATGCAAAATTTTCACAAAATTTTCAATATAACCAACACTGTTAATTTGTCTATATATAGTTTCAATGGAAGTCTATATTTATTAATTTTTGTTGAACTTTCCGTATATGTATTCTGTCTACTGAAGCATTTTTATGTAATATAAAAACCGGTAAAGTACTTTATTAGCATGCCAGACATAATCAATGCCCAATTTCATATAATCTTGAAGATTTGATTATCAAGGTTTATTATGGTAAATAACGATACATTTTCTTTTTTTGTATCATACCAAAACACTTTATTATATTTCGCATGTTTTAAAGTTATGTGCACCAGTTATAACTCATGAATATATATTCTGCCAAAGTAATCTTTCCTCTGGAGAACTACTTAAGGTTGAGATTGTGTTATGGAAAAAGATATGCATTTATACAAAAACAAAAAAATAATCATAATAGTAAAACTATTGTTCACTTTATTATACCCCCTGCAACAAAGTTAGGGGGTATACTGGAATCAGCTTGTCTGTCCGTCTGTCTGTCCGTAGAAAAAGATTGTCCGGACAACTCCTTCTAAAGCAATGAACCAATTTCATCGAAAGTTTCCAGATATGATAACTACCAGCTCAAGTTATGCATACAGGTAATATTTTTTCATTCTGATCATTTTTTTCCAAAGTTATGGCCCTTTGTTGAAAAATTCATGTCCTCCAAAACTAAGGGGTCAGTTTCAACGAAATGTTTCAAATATGATAACTTCCACCTAATGGTGTGCATACAGATATTATTTTTTCAATCTGACCCTTTTTTTTACGAAGTAATGGCCCTTTGTTGAAAAATACTTGTCCTGACAACTACTCCAGAACCATGGAGCTAATTCCAACGGAAGTTTACAGATATGGTTACTGCCCCCTGACATTGTGCATCCAAGTAGTACGTTTTTATTTCGAACCTTTGAAAAAGAGTTATGGCCTTTTGTAGAAAAAGAACCTTTGTCTGCCTCATAAACTACTGGGCCGATTTCAATTAATGTTTACAGATATGGTAATTACCTCCTGATGTCGTGCATTAGGGTAGTACTTTTTCATTTCGACCATTTTTTAAGGAGTTATGGCCCTTTGTTAAAAAACTTTGTCTAGACAACTCTTCCTTAACTACTTGAACGAGTTCAGCAAAACTGGTTCATCTGGGCTAACAAGATTGAGTATGGAAGTATGTTTTAGCATTGGGAGGGAGTACAGAAAGTATGTCAGTGATAAATATGCTTAAATAATATAACTAGTGCCTTAGCTTTGCATTGCTTTGCCTTAGTTAGCCTTTAGCTTACAATTCTGGTGTATATAGTAGTTAGTCTTTGGCTTACAGCGCTAGTTATTATTTCATTTTGCCTATTGCTCATTCATTAAACAAAATATGGAGGAATACTACATTATTTTATACCGTTAAATCTAGCCAAATAAAGCAAAGAAAGGTATCCTTGTCTGACTCCCCATACACATTTTTTTATTTCAACACATTTGATTTTTGTGACCTTGAACGAAGGTCAAGGTCATCAACGTTTACAAAATTTAAATCCATTCAAATGAACAACCTACTTGCCAAATATCAACACCCAAGGACCTTTGGTCATGAAGAAACACAAGTTAAAGGAAAAGTGGAAAGAAAGCTATGTTTTTCTTTTTTTGAATCAAAAGTTTTATATGACAAATTTACCGGTGATCAATTTTCTTGAAATTCGTGATGTTGAAAGATATTATTGGCAGCCAACTTTTAAGCAAGTATGAGAAATAGACTCGTTTTAGAACTATGTAAATTAACGTGTCGAAAATGGAAATGTTCACATTACTAATGAAATTTCACATACTTTTCTGCTTAAATCTTAAATAAAAAGAACAATTCTTTCTTGAAATAGTGTAATATTCGGTATCAAAATAACAGTTGGAATATGTTGCGCACGATGATGATATAATTTTAAAGTAATTGTGTCATTTAAATGCTCTGTGAGGAATTGCATTACCGCACCTTTAACACCCACACACGTGTAAGTCAATGAGGTCCCATTTATCCCAGATTAGGAATACTAAAGAATGTCGCGTAGTTCTAACTGAATGGAATAATTACAATGAATGTATAAACTGCATATGTAGTTTGCGGTATTCAATAATGTACACACAATTTTATCCCACAAGTATAGGTTTCCTCACTCCTGACTCACGAGATAAGCCTGCTAAGAGTACGTAAACATTTTCTTATTATGACGTAAAACAACAATGCTTTGCGACGCAACCCTCCATTGTCATGGCACAGTTCATGGCAAGTGTTTCCCCGATCGGAAATGGAACATATGGCTTTCTAGTTATAATATATGAACGTTGTGGGAGGAAAATGTCCCAAAACTTGTTATGGCTGGTTATCATGTTAATCTAACTTACGTTAGTAAACCGCGTATCTTTGCACATTTGAAATAATTAAGTAACTCGAGTGAGATAAACACGATAAACAACCATCACTCGTTGGGGAACCTCTATTTACGCCAATATCATCATATGCGACTTTACGGGCAGTTTTGAGGTTCTTGTAACGATTACAATAAAAACTACAATTACAATGTATTCGTAACAATTAATCTTATAATCAATCTCAGATCATTAATATATTAGGTTTGTATAATACAGTAAACATGTTTTAGCATATTGAGAAAGTAGATTGTGTCATCAAGAGCTGCAGCGAAATGTAACGAACAAGCAAGTTAACAAAAAATATTTGTTTGTGGAACGGGTAGAGTTGTCCTAAGACAAAATGTTCAGAGCGTTTTTCTGCAGGTTGTCAGTATAAACTGATTGTACACCATGCTAAACAAGAGTTTACCAGGTTAAAATATAATCTAGACACACATATGCAAAGTTATACAATATGTGTATCAACGTTTGAACCAATCTAACCCCGATTACTGAATGGTATTGTCAGTGTAAAGTAGGTACCTGAGTAGTTTACTGTTCGGCCAACATTTCTTAAGTGTTATTGTATTTCTCATATAATATCAAAGTATGTAGGCCTACTGTAGATAGACCGCAATGGTTGTCTATAATAAATAAATAAAGATAAATGTCTACGGTAAATTTATCACCATGTAGGCCTATTCTTAATAAACCAAAATGTATGCTTACTGTAAATAAAAAAAGATGTAGATCTACTGTAAATAAATCACGATGTAGACCTACTATAAATATTTCACGATGACTGCCCCTGTAAATAAACCACGATGCAGGCTTACTGTAAACATATCAAGATGTAGGTCTCCAGTAAACTTTTGAAACCTGCAAAAAAGATGAAGATATAGTTATACTGCAAATTTATTACGATGTAAGCATACTGTAAAAATAAACGAAGATGTAGGCATATTGTAAATTAATTGCGATGAAGGTCTATTATAAATTTAGCATAATATCTGCATACTGTAAATAAATTAAGAAGTATACCTGTTGTAAAATATCATAATGTAAAGCTATTGTTTATAAATAAAGATATTTGCTTACTGTAAATAAATAACGATGTAGGCCTAATGTAAATATATCAAGATGTAGGTCTGCTGTAAAATATATCATGATGTCTGCCTATTTCAATACATTCAAGATGTATGTCTACTGTAAATGTATCTGCACTCACCTCTTAATGGCATTAATTTAAATCAATCAGTTCTCTCGGAACCGTCATTTGGAAGAAATAGCGGGCAAAAGTCGACACGTGTTATCTTTCCAAAGACTGTCATTAAGTGATGACTGCTATGGGATGTTCATATGGGAGTGACCGGATGTTAATAAGAACTGCCTTTACCAGGTAAAGAGCACGTTTTGTACATTTAGTAACTAATATAAAGTAACATCATACATTGCTTACGGGTTGCTAATAAAAAATAAGACATGAAACAAACTTTATAAAAAATATCTTTAATACTCAAATAATAAATAAAATGTCATTGAGAATAAATAGCAAGAAATAATTGAAAATCATAATCACTGCACTGGTTTATATATTATTTACAGTGCTATCAATACTGTGAGATACATTGTATATGATTTAAACAAAAAATGACTGTTCCACAGGTTTTTTTATTCATTAATTGATTCAATTCGCAAAACCTAACATAATTGATTAAGCGATAAGGTAATGTTTGAAATCAGCGAGTATATTATTTGGGTTCGGCCAATTGCCTGTTGTTGAGATCAGGGAATAGGTTATAGTTGAATATATATTTAGAAGCATTTTTTAATGGGGGTGGGGGTTGTAATTGACAAGTTTACAAGTTGTAATTGAGGCCAGTTTATTTAAGAGGTGATATTATAGCTAGAGTTTTTAAAATGATCGAGTAGGTTATAATTATAACTCAGCGAGATGCTGATATATACATGATCTAAGAGTGTGTTATTGTTTAGATCAGCGATAATTTCATTGTTTGAATCAGCGCGTAGGTTATCGATGACGTCGGCGTGTAGGTTATTGATGATATCGGCAGGTAGGTTATTTTTCGATATGAAAATATCCTAAACTTACTACAGTTATTTGGTTAATTTTCATATTTTTTACCAATATTTATTTTCATGATTGTTTCTTCTACAACGTCCTATTAAAAATATGTCAACAAAAACAACAAGCATAACGACACTGTTTCCTTGTGTTAAAACAATAAACACAAACTATATAACGGAAATATCGCAAGATATCCAGCGCGCAAAATATATACTTACAGATTAATAAATAAATATAAAACATAAACAGTCATGAGAAGTGTTATATCTTGTTTCCTCCATAACATATCATTCATAAATAAAAGTCAACCAATCACAGATCACTACCTGTAAAATAATAATAAAAATTCGAGGTTCTTATATACTGCTTTATCACAACCTAGTTCGTAGGTCGTCTCAAAGCGGTTCACAAATTATAAGGTAATAGGGCCTTTGCAATCAGCCAATGTCTTCCTCAACTCACTGGGGAGCAGAACGCCGGTGCTGCCATTTCGGCGCTCACAGCTAGCATTCTACAATTCTAGCACTACCCAACCACGAACTCATTTACAGCTGAGTAGACTGGAACAAGCGGAGTAAAGTATCTTGCTCAAAGATACAACACAGTGCCGTGACGTGAGTCGAACTCGCAACCCTTCGGTCATGAGCCCGGCATCCTACCACTAGACTACCGTGCCTTCAATATGTATACCAATATTATTTAAACCATAATTACATACACCGGCATCTTAACACCCAGTATTGTGATAGATATCTTGGTCGTGAAATAGACAATACATATACTAAGAAATTAATTGGACGGAAAAAATAATTCTTTGCAAATATTCATCATAAGATTCGATACTCCAATTGATTTTGTAATAACACGACATTGAAGCATGCATGTTTATATGCCCACTTTTTTTTAGAAATATACGAATACATATATACACAAGACTTCCCATTGTTTAAAAAAACCACAAGGCACAAAATTTGAACGGTCAAAGATGTCACCCCTACGCACACACTGACAGGGTTCATTATCATGCAAATCTCGATATCCCGGAGTTACGCTCACTTACGCTCTCTGTACGCCTGGAATATGTCATAGCAAAATTAAAGACACAAAGACAGCTGTTTGATTGGTCTCAGGTAAAACAAATCTGACCAATCGCTAGGCCGATACCTGTCCTTTGAAGATTAAAACGGGACGACACCCAACTTCAAAGTCAGTCAGTTTTTACCGTTACGCGGTCGCGAGATTCTTTTGATATACATCAAATGTTTGAACTAGTCTTCTTGTCTTATTAACAAGGTGGTGTACACTGAGCCTTTAATTTTGCTATGACATATTCCAGGGACGTAGAGAGCGTAAGTGAGCGTAACTCCGGTACATTGAGGATGACGTGCACTGTCCCAGGAGTCTTACTATGAGATATTGTAAAGGGAGGTAACCCATGCATGTATTACAAATAATGATAAGTTATGTTTAAACAACACAGTTACATTACAGGATGAGTTCCCTATGTGGAATTATCGATGACATACGATATACTGTTAAATAAGATATTTTCGTAGGACTCGAATTTCGTGGTTTTCCGAAAAACTACCATTTCGTAGGTACACAAATTCGTGGATAACAGGTACCCGCTCATACAGAGAATTGCTTTATGTCAAACTTGTAATTACTTCGTGGACCATTGTATTCGTGAAGAAGATTACCGACGAATCAACGAATTAAAAACCCCACGAAAATAATATGGATTTCATAGTACATTGACGATGAAAATAAGGACAATATCTACATATCCAAATAAATCTTTGTGATCAAGCATTTGATTGAGAACAGAAATGGAAGAGTTATGCAAACAGTTTGTAACATAAACTGACGATCTCTGTGTACAAAATATCAACCTACACTGATGCTGGCGTCATCGATTAAACGTCATATTTGGTAACATTGTAGTCATACATAGTCAATGAGAGGCGAACGTTTTCTGTTACATTGCATTCGTTCACTTCTCAGGGAGTAGTAATCCTCATATCAGGTAACATTGCATTAGTAACACACATAACGGGAAAGCGAGCGGTATCTTTTCTTTTTACAGTATCACTGTATTGGTAACATTGTATTCGCAAGCATGTCACGGTTAAGCAAAATGAAACCATCGTCAAGTTTGGTAAAATTGCATTCCCTGGCACGTCATGGGGAAAGCAAGATGTATCCGGCGTTATTTTTGGTAACATTGCATTCCTAGACACGTCATGGGAAAGCAAGATGCATTCGGTAACATTGTATTCGTACAACCATCGCAGGGAAGCAAGATGTATGATACGTTATATTCGCCAACAATATATGTATTTGTAATTCGGCTAAAGTCTTTTGCTGTTGCCGTCGGATATACCAATGTATAAAGGCTATTGCTGTCGACGCCAGATATGTAATAAAGTCTCTTGCTGTCGAAGTGCAGTGTTGTCGATGGCGGATATATATTAAATTTAAATGATAACATAGGAAATATATAGTCTTTAGTTTGGATTTATACTGTTACAATGTGAAAAATAGAATTTCCTGTAATTATATCCTAAAGCTTATGGCCACTGTAAGTTACTGTAGATAAAAAAAGGGATGGATGATAATTTGCATGGCGTGTGCGTTAAACGACATATACAACGACTTCTCTCTTTAACAAGTTATAGACTTGAGTTCATGGTATCATGGACAGCTCCATTTGAACATAAAATGCTACACCTGCTGCTGGTTCATCAATGTTCATGTAAAAGTAACTTGTAACAGATATCACAGTCTGCTATCAATCAGAATCTTCTATTTCGACAACATGTCCATCAATCCTGTAAGCAAAATATTTGTTCATTACCAATAAAAAATACAATTCAATGTCCATATAGTGTTCTAACCATCTATATAATATGATCATCAGCGATGGATTAAGTTTAGTTCTGTGCTACTGTATCTTGAGCAACGTTCTTTTCTTTTGCAAATATAGAATTACTCTAATATTGTTATAGAGTTTTGTAAAAATCAACGAAACAACCCTCAGAACTTTTATGTCATTACAAATTCAATAATATAGAACTGCATCTTGTCATTACTGACCTAATCAAGCTTTCTATCAAAAATATCAAGGGAGACACTAATACCACTTAATAACACGTTGTGGTGACATTACAAAAAATAAAATTTTAACCACATAGTCCCGACACTATCTTAATAGACTTCAAACCACGGTTTCCAAAAAGATAATAATTCATCAGACAGTTGTAAGTTTATCGGACTACCAAACAACATGAGGACACTTTCTAGTATCGCCTTAAATCAAAGAGCTAAGAAACATACTAGCTTCTAACAGACTGTTTAAGATACCAATTATCTTCTGTCAAAAAATAACCCACCTTTTCCTCTTCTGGTGTAACAGTAACAGATTTTAACACGCTGAAACGACAAAAAAAAAATCGATTAACAAGACAGATCAATGAATGTTTTAATCGTATACCACAAGTTTCAAATTTGCATTTAAGCACCACTAATGTCATGTCTCAAAGTCTCAAAACCAAATCAAATTGACACTTTTCAGCAAGACTTACCCGTATCGAAGGTTGTCCAATCTGAATGAGAAGTGCCCAAGGTTATTTTTCTTTACAGGTGTCGAACCTGTTACCCATTCTGCGATCCCATCTCTTGTCATAAGGTAAAATTCCCGTGGTTTGCCTGAAGTAAATTGATTAAATATTTTGTAAGCAAATAAGGCAACTACGACTTCCTGCTGATGACATCCACATATAACATCGATACGCCAGGGGTTATGCCCCCTTTCATTCTCTCTAACCCTGGAATATGTCATAGTAAAATCTAAGGATCGGTGTGCGCCGCCTTGTGGATGAGACAAGAAGAATAGTTAAATCTTTTAATGTACATCAAAAGGACCTCGCGATCGCGTACCGGTAAAATTGACTGGCTCTGAAATCCATTGTCGCTCCTCTGAAATCTTCAAAAGACATGTATCAGCCTAGCAATTGGTCAGGGTTTTTTCACCCGAGACCAATCAAATAGCTAGCCGTGTACCTTCAAGTTTGCTATGGCATATTTGAGGGGTGCAGAGAGCAAAAATTAGCATAACCCCTGGAGTATAGAGGATGTCGCATCCTTGCCAAGCATATCTTGCTGTAAACACACGTGTTGCAGTGATCAACAAAATGTTGAGCCTGTTTTAAAGTAATATTGAAATTAAGTTTCTATTGTAATGTCACGTTTAGAATTGGGAAATCACTATTTGTTTACAAGAGGCACACTTATGATAGTGGTAAACTCTCTTATAATTTAGAATTAAAAAAAACCCAAAAAAACTTTGTCTCCATTAAAGATCACATGCTTACATATCAACCCGGGTTTTAGGGATATACATATTGATATTAAATATGACAGAAACTCGACAAATTAAATAAAGAAAATACTACATCGCCAGGACTTCTACATAATTACATAAACCATCTGTTGTTAGAATAACAAATCATTAATATTTCTATTAAAAAAAAAGACATTATAAAACTATCTAAAAATATATTGCCACATGACTAAATATATCTGTTATTATCCGAAGCTTAGTATAGTTATCAGACTATGCGATGTGACATTTACCTTTCTTACTTTCCAGAGGTTTTAGGAACTCCGTTTGCGGCAGCGTCAGCTTCACTGGATATTTTATGTCCTCAGAAACTCTGATATAGATTATCGGTGCTGGCTTCTTGTCCTCAAACTGTCAGAACAAATAGGCGTTAAGTTATTTGAGGATACCGGAGGCAAATGAGGTAAGGTATGACGTCTGTTGTGTTTAGGTATGTTGTTACCAATTAAGAACACAGTGAAAAAATGGCGAAGGGAGGAAACCTGGTATATTAAGTAACATTTTGCTCGGAGAAAAAAGGAGTTAAGTTATACCAGGCGTAATATTGACAAGTTGGAAATGGTCCAGCGAAGGGTAGCGCGCTATGTGCTCAATAAGCACAGGTAATACCATCGTACCTGCAGTGTTCAGAAATGTTGGACCACATAAAGCTGCGCCCTCTAGCGGATAGACGTAGAGATGCTCGTCTGACCATGCTTCATAACATTGTAAACCAGAAAGTCGCTATCGTAAAATCAGACAGATTAATCCCTACAGTTAGAAAATCCCGAACAAACCACCAGTTTTCGTATCAAATTCCCCACTCAAAAACCCAGACCAGAAAGGGATCATTCTTCCCTCGAACTATACCCGAGTGGAATAAACTCCCACCTGACATTATGTCGAGCCCCACAACGGAATTATTCAAATCAGCCCTTTACCGTCACCTTTCAAACGCAAATTAGACCATCTCGTATCTTTTAAAAACAATCTCTTTCCGTGTTTCACTCCTCGTCTGACATTTTATCTTCAAATTGTTGAAGTTGGTCAGTACCATTTAGAAGTAGAAGGGTGTAACTGCCAATTTTGCCCTTGTGAAACATTATAAATCTTGGGGGAAACACACACCCTGTAACTCAGTAACGTTGAACAAGCAATGGTGACTACGATGGGATACAGTGATACCTGGTGTATTGTGTAACGATGAACAGGAATGAGTACTCAGATAAGAATGTGGTGTAGTGTATGATGTCTAGTGTATTAAGTAATGTTGTACATGAACACATCTGCAGTATTAAAAAAGCTTATGTATTTATTTTTAATCCCGGATGTAACCTAGTATTTTCAAGGAATCTTCTCGAACTGAACAATTATCTTATGAATAATGTATTTCAGAAAAGTTGTCCCATTTATCTGATTACAAACTATTAGTAGTTTCAAACTTATATTCAGGCCTGGTTTCATCTACACCAGTTGAGTTAATAAAATGACATATGGAACCCTTCATCACTTTCCTTACATTAAATCACATCGTCAATTTTGTTCCACTTATTTTATTAAATTCATAAAAAATAATTTATTTTATTTTCTTTCGTTCCTTTAACGCATTGAATGTGCTTGATAGTTCAAGATGAACTTTAAACAGAAAACAAAAAAATACTCGATACATAACGAAAATATTATTTTTTTCTCAAAAAATTAAAACCTTAATTTACCATGAACGACAACTTGCACGCTGTTTCACTCGTATTCGGATCTACTATTACAGTAACTCGTTTGTCCTTGTTTAGGATGACCGTGCCGCCCAGACTGGATATGACGTGCGCCTCGATCGTATCACGAACAGCCTCAGAAGGCGCCATCCATGGGTCGCATTTAGCAGCTATTACATGACTTGGACATGTGTTCAATTTTACGCCAATACAAGGACTCTCCTGAAAATATAAAAATCAAATAGGAAAGCATCACATCATGGAACAGTTTAAATAGTTTTGAACGTGAAGACCTTGTTGTTTAGGGACCCCCGTTCCACTTCCAAATAGAAACTATTTGACTTGCGTGGCAATAGCTTTAATAAATCTTATCTGAAAAGATACACTTATCTTGCGGAATTTTAAGGAAAAAATAGTACAGGTGAAAGAAACAAACGAGATAACAACAGCAATGTTCTGGAAAAAAATGTCAAGTTGTAAAACCGAGCTTCGAACTATGAACCTCCAATCGCAATACGGTATCTCTAACCAACTAAGCTACATGTACCTGATCTTCGATAAATTACTGACCTAACACGACTACATTTACTTTCTAAAGTAAGAGGAGGTTACTGTATGTATGGGGAAAAAACAGTTATTTCTATGCAGTGGGAAAACGATCCTTATGATGTACCAACCATCGGCTGGTATTTATTTTTGAAAGATAAAAATATTCATTCAAAGAGCATGCCCTCCCCCATACACGCACATTCTGAGGTCCTCTCATCACGAGAAAATGAAATGCGCTTCGTCGTATAAAGGAACTGTTAAATTTCCCTTCAATGGTCGAAATAAATCATTTAATTGAGTTAAAGAAATACAACACTCGTCCAAGTTATGCAAGCTATGATTCGTATTGGTGTTTTTTTTGACAATTTCAACATATATGACTGAAATGGTACTGATAGGATAAGCTTACAACGATTCTCTCTGATTGAAACTTACCTGATTAGATTGAAGCGATAAATATCGCTGCCATGTCTTGCCTCCGTCGAAACTTGCTATGAGGTAAACCTCTCCATATGACACTTTCGACTCGTCAATTATTTCTCTGTCGACTACTTTGACATCCAATGGACCCTGTAAAACATACTTTTTTTAAGAATGCTTCTTGATATAGAGAATTAGAAAGAAAACAAATCATTAAAGTTTATTTCCTTGTCAGAGGTATTCGTCTCTCATTTTGACGATGTACATTGACAATACCAATATGGCAACAATGAAGATTTGGTGAGTGTGTAAGTGTCGGGTTCGATCCCTGCATTTTTTATTCATTGTTGTTTATATTTGTTTTCAAACACTCGAATTTCGAGCAACTTAAATTGTGCTTAAAGCATCACGAAATGAGATTCACATAAAACATTTCTATAGAAAAGGTATTCAAAAGAATATTTACTGATATTGACAATGCTTTATAATTTGATTGTACACCTTGTATTCTTAAACATTAGCAAGCAAGTTTAACCACTTTTCTATGTATTTGTTTTTAAAGGAGACTGTTTTAATATGATTAAAAGTAAATGTAACAAAATTAACATACAAATTCGATGACAGTTACCTAAAAACCTCTCCTCCGCTGAACTTTATTTATTTATGCCGCATTGTCATATTCTTCATCGTCATTAGGATGTATTTACAATCTACACTGACATTCACTCCATAAGTATTGTTCTCACAAATCAGAGTTATGATATCATAACCTGACCATAGATCGTGACTAGTTTCCATGACGTCTACAACAACATATGTGGGCGGAGCTATGAAAAGTTTCCTCAAATGAGACACAATTGTGTGACGTCATCAACAGAAGATGGGG